GTGAGGACCAACAGTCACTTGTGAGGACACACAACCTGGTCCTCACAAATTTGGAGACATTTAAAGGCCTTTTTGAGGCTCAAAATGTGGTTTTAGTGTCAGGGTTACAATTTGGTTATGGTTATGGTTAGGCATTCATTTTTAATGGTTAGGGTAGGGTTAGGGAAAGCATTATGTCAATGAAGGTCCTCACTAAGATAGCTGAACGGGGTTGTGTGTGTGTGTCCTCACCTGGCTCTCGAGCTCAGCGTTGCCTCCTTCAGCCTTTCGCCCAACAAGCAGATCGTCTAAACTGCGTGAATGAGGTCAGTTTGTTCGGCTGAGAGTGCACACCTTGCGCTTTCTAAATGCGGTGACTGGTTCACACCTTCAGCCTCACGCACAACGAGAAGCTCCTTGAGGCTGTGAATTATGTTTGTGGACACTCACACAACGTGGAGGCATCACATTTACACAACAACGACGATGGAAAGCAGCTGTTTTTGAGCACCTTCTAATGATTATTTTTGAGGTGACATTTTATTTTCACCATTATCGCGTCTAACTTCCGCGTGCCACCCTGTGATGCGGCCCGCTTGTCAGAAAATATATCACCAGTAATTTAAAGCTGACAGTAACGTCGACAGCTATTCTCACAATTCGAGCTTCACACCCTGCAAACAAACCGTGACTCACATTTGTTAGAGGACGTGACCACTCCCTTCATTCACTCGCACTCACTGTTTTCTTCTTTTCTCTCACACAGATGCACGCAGACACACACAGACACACACAGACGCGCTGCAGCTCATGCATGCAAATGAACGGCGCGCGCGCACGCACGTGCAGAAAGGCAATCCCTCATTCCACTTTACTGTTCAGTGAAGCACAACTTTATGTTCAACGTCTCACAAGCTCGACAAACATATTTATTCATGATTCCTTAGCAGGGAGGGGCAGAGTGTTAACTCTGCCTGACAGGGCAGACATATTTCTCTGTGTGGAAGGATTCGACACGCCTTCGTTAGCTGCACAGCGTGTACTCGGGCTCCGCAGGCCATTTTTAAAAATGTGTACAGAGGCCTTTGGGGTCCTGTAATGTCTTTTGTTAGCCGTGGGGTCATTCTGAGACTTGTGGCGCAGATATTTTTAACCTCTGGTTAGGCTGAGCCATTAAAACAAGTGCAAAGTGCTAAAAAACTACATTCATGTTTTAAAGTTCAAAACGGTTCCCATGAAACGTGGCATTCCCAAGTGACCTGTGCAGGGCTGGACTGGTCATCGGGCGGCCACTCGTGATTTTTCGTTTTTATGGGCCAATGGTGTTTTATTTCTTTTCTTTTTTAACGGTATAAATGAACGGTGGTGGATTGGCCAGTTGGTCATGGTCGACTCTGGGCTGGACCAATTACAGCCGAGGAGGTCGAACTTTAAAGTTGAGGTGAAATTCAATCATGAAACTGATCAATGATCAGCTGATCGGCTTTTCTCTCTGCGCCAGAAAGAGGAAACCAGCAGATGTCGCGCTAAACAACAGCAGCACGTTTGATCAGCTGTTGTTAGAATTTATTTAATATTAATTTCTAGTATCAGCTGATGTTTGCTGGAGCCACAGCTGTAAAGCTGCTGGTCATGATGTCGGTTTGGATATGTGGTGAGAGGGAAACATGAAGATGAAACCAGGAGATGTCCTTACTGGATCATCAGAGCTGAACAGGTGAAGGAGAAACAGGTTTACCTTTTAGGTGACATGAATGAGTTGAAGTTATGAACTGTTTCTGAGAGACAAATAACACCAGGATCCTTTTTCTAAGCAGCTGACAGCTGGTAACTGTGCAGGGGCGGGTCTAGCAAAGTGTTGCCAGGGGGGCAGGTAGGGCATTAACAGGGAGAGGGGGGCACAAAGAAATACTTTCTTATTCTCATTTAAAATGTCTAGCTTTTGTTAAATAATTATCTGAATCTTACAACCAAAGTTTTTATCTGATGTAAAATGAAAAATTTACTGAGTGTATTCAGTAAATATTAAGTCTAGTATATATCCTAGTAAGTTATGGTATTCTTTCCTTTGTTAAGGTACCATCTGTGCAGTCTGCGATTCTGCTGAAGAAAGATGTTGAATCTATTTAATTACTGGAGAAAAATAATCGATTTCTTTGCATTTGTTTTATAAGTGCATTAAATTAAAAACATTTTTGTCAGTAAAGCATCTCGAGGCAGAGGTGGGGGAGTGGTTCCCTATTTTTTTTCTTTTCTTTTTTTCCTGGGAGTTGGCAACCCTATTAGTGAGGTATATGTAATTATAAATTAGGTTGTTTTATATTTTTGCTAAGTGCTGTTTAGAATACCAGAATAGGGAGGATGGTGTAGGTTTAAGTTTATTATAAAGGCTTTATGGCTTTAATACCATGGTGGGGCGGTCACTAGTCAAAATGCTCGGGCTGATCTTTTGTCCCAGTCCAGCCCTGCCTGTGGGCTCATCATTTATTTATTTATTTATGTAGCACAAACTCACAAAACTCACCTGAAGGTGCTTTATATTCTAACATAAAGAGCCTACAATATCAGGAAGAAACCCCAACAATCACACCCCCTCCTATGAGCAGCACTTTGGCGACAGTGGGAAGGAAAAACTCCCTTTTAACAGGAAGAAACCTCCAGCAAAACCAGGCTCAGGGAGGGGCGGGGCCATCTGCTGCGACCAGTTTCGGGTAAAGTTGAATAATTATTACTGATTAAATACAGTGGTGACGTATGAACGCAGAGTGAAGAAACGCAGTGCATCATGGGAATCACTCCGCAGCCTGAGCCTGTGATGGCGTGCCTGATCTTAAATGTAGAGAAAGTGTCCGAGGCTCTGTCTCTCATTCTGCTTTCATTGTGTCTCATGCTGAGACTTATATTACACAATGTGTACTCAGCAGTGCAGGTTATCATCATCTCCAATCAAACACTGCAGCTTGTGCCCTTATCTAAACGGCGATTGCAGCATCTGACTGCGGGTGTTTTGCAAAGATTTAGAGCTTGCTGAGTGTCTGACCCCGCCTCCTCTACACAGAACAGTTTGTCTCCATACTCCATGCCAAACAAACAGTAACCTCATGCACCAGTGGCATGTGATTTCATTTAACATACTTGTGTTTATTAGTTGAAAGCACCTTGATTGGTAACTTTGGTAACACTTTTTTCTTGGTTTACCGGAGGCGGTCGGGGTTTGGGTGGGTCGCCTAGCAGGATTGAGTAAAACATGTTCCACTTTTGAGTGCAGGAAGAATTAGAGACTGTAATGATTTACTCTTTTATTTCTTTTGACTCATCGCTTGTTTTTTTAGTTATTTCAGAGTAACGAATTACTTAATTTGTTAGTGTTTCTTTCCCCCGCGTGTCTCTTTTGGTCTGATCAGTCACTTTATTGGTAAGTTTTACTCTGTTTCTTACTTCTTCAGCTTTTTGTCTCCATTACACATTCGAGTTCTGCTTACCTGCTTTTACTTAAACATCCATTTAACCAGGAAGTGAAACTCCTGGTTAAACAATCTCTTTTCAACAGCTGCGTTAACCTATCGTGTCGTGTCCCTGTGGTGGGAGAAAGTGGTGCTATCATCATTTGTCATCACTGGGTAAAAGAAAACCTGCGTTTAAAAAACCCAGCAGTCCCTCAACAGTCCGCCTACTGTGAGGGAGAAATTTCCGAGAATTTTCTCCCTGAGAAAATTAATTGGACGGCAACTGTTGAAGGTGTGAAGTGTGCACTGTTCCACACTCAGGCTTTGGATCGTTACGGGTAAACCACACAGGTTCTTGTGGTGACCTTTGTGCAGCTGTGCTTGCAGTGTGCACACATAATGGTACACAATTTGAGGCACAGCAAGTGTCTTTTATGTACCTGTGTTGGACTATTTTTCTTTTTGTGGCTCACCCTTTCACCCGCCAGGTACTCCAAGAAGTTGCCAAGATGTAGTCTGACCGTAAAAGTGAGATTTAACAAACCAGCCATAACACGTTAATCAGCGAGGCTAAGAAATGCCTCTCCGTGAACTCGCTGCTTTCTTTAGCCTGAGAGTTAACGATCAGACACGAGGAGTGGCTTCAAGCTTCTCATCCAGCTAACAAAGGGAATGAGCATGAGACAATTGGGTTATATCTCTCATCTGATCTGGATTAGCATGATGGAGAAAAGTCTCCATGGTTTCGGCTCTAAAACTGAGGGAGAGGAGACGGCGGCGACGTACGAAAAGCAATAAAGGCGAAACTGTTGAGACTCTGCCCTAACCTCCCCCTCAGTGCTGCTCAACAATCCTGTCATTATTTCTTCCCCACCAGGGTGGGCCTGGAATTTTCCCTGAAAAACAGCATAAACAAGAACAACAAAGGATAATAATACACGGTGACGCTATCATTTTGCAAGAATAATAAAAAAAATGTTAAAAAAACAAGACAAAAAAACTTTTTTCTTCTCCTGTGTCTCGTAATCTGCACTTGGGGGGGGGGGGACCAAACCCTCCAGTTTAATTGGACACAAAGCAGAACCGAGTCACTTTACTGTACTTGTTGTTGTTCTGTTTAAAAAGGAGCAGATTTCCTTCTGGTGCCTGTTATCCTGAGCTGACATTTCACGGTGTGTATACTGACTCCAGGAGGACCAAACGCTCTGCGCTGCCTTTGCCATTTCAAACAAGCGATGTTTTATTTTTGCCCTCCAGTTCCTTTAAACAAACTGACCAGGTAGCTGGCTCTGCATGTTCCGACTAGTCTCCACATCTGCTGCTTCCTGCTGATCTGTGCAGCAGAAAGTCTGCAGAGTCATTCCTCTCACCCCGCAAATGTAATCTTTATTTCTTTGTCACAGATAAGCTGCATCATCTGTCACTCCAGGGTTACAAAAGCAAGATGAAGCGAATCACAGATTATCAGATCAGTTCAAGCTCTGATATACAGTTTTTATTCCCCAGGAGTATCTCAAATCTTCTTTTTTTCCCCTTTCTCCACCTTTCTTTTAGGTCACAGGTGCTTCACAGCTGCTGTGGGAAAAAGGCATCTGGAGCCCACGAGGACGTAACCTTACAAAGGGCAGGGGAGGGCGGATGCAGCCTCTCTATCTCGGCTGTGGTGGGGAGGGTTCCTGGCACCGTGATTTGATGCACAAAGAGAAACAAAAATCACATTGCCAGGGATTTCCACTCCTTCACAGCTCAGCTGGTGACCCACCGCACTGTTTCCATCGCGGGTTGCTTTTGTGTAGCCGTCCTAGCTGCTCTGATTGGATTCAGTTGATTTCTGATGCTGGATGTTGCTATGGAGTCAAATATGGGTGAAGTTAGATACGGCGATCAACTCTCAGCAGACTTCTCACAAGGAGAGCTGTGACATAGCACAGAAAGTGTCGAAACGCTCACGAGGCTGCCGTTAAACGTGCAGCTGTCTGAAATTCAAACTCTTCACACGTCTCGTCTTTCAAGTATGACAGGAAGTTGATGTAAATGCACGTGAGGGCCGTGCAGCTTTACGTGATAGAACTAACTTTTGGAGTCAGCTCACGTTTCAGCTCTCGGATTTTAGATTTAAACACACAGGGAAGCGGCCCTGATCCTACACCGGCAGCACGCTCCGAAACACGAAAGCGAACCTCAACATCCGAAGCACCGCAGGCGCTAAAGCCACCAACTTTACCGGTGAGCAGTCACGTAAAGGTCTGCGTGAGGCTCTGGTCCCTCGAAAGCCTGCCACCCACTTGCTAAAGGCACAGAGCTTAGCTAATTGGTGAGCATTGATCCCTGCTATGTGTTGTTCACAGTGGCTAAGTTCAGTGCCTGAGGTGAAATAGTGGATTCGACGTTGGGGGATTTGTTCCGCTGAATGGAAAGAACCTGATGATCTCGGATATGAGGAAAGAAGGAGGGAGGAGAAGGGGGGAGAGATTAGGTGGGAAAGGGAGAAGCTCGGCTCACGGCTCTAATGTGGGCTCACCTGCTTCTGTGGACCAAAGGCAGCGTGCTTGTGCAATATGGTCCAGAGGTGAGACAAGCTGTACTGTTTCTTCATTTGCCTGCAGCAACAACTGTCTTCTTACCTCTAACATCTGGCAAGAATCATGGTGCATGCCAAATATATTTGAAATTGTTTGAGCGAGGCCATGTGACCCAGGTTTAATGTGTTCTTGCAAATGCCTCAGATTGCATCTGGATTAGGAATGTGGTGCTAAATGTCAACTGTACCTGGGCGTGCCACTTCACGTCCGACTGAGGTAGCTTAGGACGTCAGTGCCAGTGTTTAGCACTAACCTTCCCACACTTTATCACCCGTAGCTGAAAGTCTCCCAGCTTTTCCTACGATAAACTAGCTGATTGATTTCATGTTGGTCTGAGCTGTCGCTTAATTTTTCTTGGGTGGATTTTTAGCAAATTAACACCAGTGCAAACTAAGAAGTAAAACCCTTTTTTCCTGAAATAAAAGTGTCTTAAGTGATCACAAATTCTCCCACTGCTCTCTGTGAGCTGCGTGACTGCAGTAAATTTGCCTAATGCTGCGTAATTCACCCCGAACTTGGTGCTGCTGTTCTAACGCTGCGTGCTGCAATGATGTGAGCAAAAATAAGCTGCAGCACTCACAGTTGTTTCTGGGCTATGCCCTCCTGTGCCTACTGAACTGGTATCAGTGTTATACCTGAAAACTGGCTCAGTTCAGCAGGAACAGGAGTGGAGCCTACAGACACGCGACAGCTTCGAGCGACAGCAGCGAGACCGAGATTCAGCTGTTGTTGGTTGCTGTGTCAAACTGACGTGATGCTCGCCTCGAGTCAAAGGCGGTGATGAAATCCAAACCAGAGTCCCCGAACCTGTCAGACTGAAGCTTGACGTCTCCGTGGAAGTGCGTCCCGACTTAGACGACTGTGCTTTCCTTCGTCGACGTGTAAATGTTTCATGAGCCGATGGGTTGGTGTTTGTGAATACTCGTGCATGCTAATGAACCCAATCCTGTTGTTCTGTTCAACCTTCATCTTTCTCCTGCATTCTCCTCCTGAGACGCCTGCAGACACGCCCCTCGAGCTTCACCTGTGTCGTCTCTCTGTCTGTGCCGTCAAAGGCCAGGCTGAGACTAGGGCTCATTGTGAGCTAATCCCAGTGAAATGTCTGCTATGTCTGTGCAATGGATTTCAACCAGCAGCCCCACATTGTGAGCGAATGGGAGTGTGTGGAGCCACAAAAGGAAAAGTGCTTGAAAATTTCATATCCAGAGGAAAGTGGAAGCTCATCAGTAAGCGTGATGAATTTGCTCTTATCTGGCACCTCCACTGATCCTGGCTGCCGCCATAAAATTATGTTTCCATTACTTGAAATTTCTGCAGATAAATGTTCCATTCAGACCTGGAGGAGATTACCCAGTGAAAAGGTTAGAGAGGGGTTTCTCTCTATCGGTGATGCCGACTTCAGGGCATTGTTTCAGCCAGGTGGTACCACTGACAAGTTGGCTATGATTTGTGTAGGTGTTCAATTGAACAAAGTGTTGAGTAGAAATGGTGCATGAAGTGCATTCTTCTAAATGTCAGCATGTTCATTTAATGCATGATTTATTCTGATGTTGCAGGTGTTTCGTTCCAGCACAAACCCAGCACTGACTGAATGCAATAAAGTTTAAATGAGCCTGAGAAAGAATTCTGGCATTGCTTTATTTCTATTCAGTGTCAAAAGATAACATCGCTTATCCCCGGGTACAAAAAGCATGTTGCAGCAGGAAAGAACAAAGACGAAGACAATAGCGGCAATCGGGAAAGAGGCGAGGCCTAAGCCTAACGGATGACAAGAAGAGGTTAATGGAAGATAATTACAGAGTTTTTAAAACAAAGAAAATAAAAATGACGCACAATGTTTGGATCAAAATTATTTCTGAATGACTGTGAATATGAAAGATATCATAGTCACGCTGATGCTTCTGAGCATTTTAACCACGTTGGGTTTTATAGAGAGAAAAGTGACCAAATTCTAGCAAGATGGCGAATTTTTAAGTTATTAGCTGATGATAGCATCACATGGATATCTGCTACTTAGTCCTGAGTAACGTACAAATATAACACAAGCATAAAAAGTGCAGTATAGGCTTCAGCACAGCAAAGCACCGACACCACAAACACGGTGATAATGCCTCTGGCTCCAGCCTCCTGTGTCAGCGTCGACCTGTCAGTCAAAGCAGGCCTTCCCTCAGTAATGCATGCCTTTAAAGCTTAAAAGTGTAGATCATAAAAAATATAGCTGGTCTTGTATCAGGCTGTAAGACATTTGAGTTTCCTTTCAGCCTCAAGCGGTTGTTGGAGGAACTTTTTGCCACTTCAGCACAGATATTATTTTTGTTGACACCCGGCCTTAATCTTACGCCGCTGAGTCTCCCACTCGTTCTTCTTCCTCATCAAATTGCCATGCCAGCATTAACCCACAACGCACCTCCACCACTCACAGCTCCCAGAAAGCAACGGGCCGAAAGCAGACCACATCTGCTGCTCGCTTAAGAGCCACATATGGCCTTGACTCATGGGCTGGACTCGGGGTGAGTGTAGCTGTGTCACATAAGCCACAGCTTCACCTTATGTGGTCCAGATGTCAGGTGTGTCCTGACATTTGAGCCACATCTGTCCCACGCAACATTTTCCATCGTCGTGACGGCGTAGCGAGTGCCAGAAGTCACACGAACGTGTCTGCTGATTCAGTCAGAGGGTCAGAAATGTTATTCCTGTGGTGGAGCCATGAGTCGCACGCCTGAAGCAGAGATGTGTTAGTGCTCACCGAGGCCTGTGAATGAATCCACCTTTAGTGATTCAACGCTGTGTTTAGGTTGTGAATACAAACGTCGTCAGTAATCATTTTTAAACAGTGCCGAGCTTTTAAACAGAGGAGAGATTCTTGATTTCGCCGTCTCAGGAAACACAGTTTAAATGTAAAGTTGACTTAATAAATAACATGCTGTAAAAACAACAGCTTACATTTTAGCTCATCTTCTGTTACAACTTCCAGGCTTTTTACATTTCACATCAGTCCAGGTTCAACTTTCCGTCTGAATTAAAGCGAGTTAAAACGGCTGCTTCAAAATGAAAAACATGAAAACACACAGGAAGTCTCCGGCACCCAGACCGAAGCCGCCAGCTCTCCTCTTAGTCTCCATAGCAATGTCAATATCCCTTTTATCTTCAGGCCTCAAAGGCTGACCAGATTTCATGATGTGGCTGCTTTATTGAGCCTGATCTACTTTTCTTGCCGCCTTCGCCATTCAATCAGCGTCTGTGTGGTTCTGGCCCATGGCTGCGAGCGCGGCTGGGTAATTTGGTTTAAAGCTGAGCAGGAACATCTGTTCTACAAAGCTTTAGCTCCTTCCGTTCCTCGGGCCTCATGGAAACAAACGACGCCAGCGGTCAGCTCGCTGCTACGTAACATCAAACCTGCAAGTCACCGCTCGGAGCCTCAACCCTCTCGTGAGATGAGAGAGTGACGATTCTTTGAAACACGACACCCAAATCTATGAAGCCGCGTAGGATTTATTGTTCGACTGACTAAAAACGCTTCATTGTTTTCACATGTGCCACAGACAAAGGGACACTCAGAACACGTCTATTATGGAGCTGCAGCGCGTGCACGGTTACAAACATGTCTATCACGGATGTAAGTCCATAAAAATGAGCATACTTGTGCAGGACGTCAGCCACCTTACAACCAGTGCTGGGGTTGTTAACGCAGGATGTTTCTCGATTACTCAGCGCAGAGAATCGTTTGCTGCACTACTCGTTACATTTCGTTTGACGTTACTCCATAAAACGGCCTTTGCGTTAGCGTGCAGTTTGTGTGGACGCTTGTAAAGTTGCGTTAGCAGCATAGCATGGCTGCTTATTAATTTCACCATTGTACTTTTGTCCTTTCATGCACTAAAACCAAAGTAATGCTCATATCTCCACTTGTCAAAGCTGTCGACCACTAAACCATTTCCTTCTTCGTGTGCACCAGACTGACTCTGCTTTATTTCCATTTTTTAATCCCCGTCCAGTCAGCTGACTGCAAGTTTTCACAGATCTTCAAAGCAGCCAAGGCAACAAGTTCACTGCACGTGTGCTTTCCACCATTTTCCTCAGTCTGACTGTAGTCCTAGTCTAAAAGTAAGCTTTGCTGTCAGGAAGCCAGATATACAGAAACGTTGTGTACAAGTGGTTTATGTAACTGTAACTGACCTCTGACCCTAAGTAGCGATCCTCCTCTCACAGTCGTCACATATGCACCTTTGTTTAAGGCATTAAACTCTGCACACGATTAACTCTGTAGTATCGTGTGCAGAGTTAATATTGTAAAGGAGGGGTGTTGTGAGCCAACCACAACATTTTCCTAAACCAAACCAAACAGCAGGACAGCAGAAGTTAATGTCACGTACGAGAAGGGCGACACAAAACTCAACATGAGCAACTTGCGACTCGCACGTCTGTGCATCTACGTAAGGTTCTCGAGTCAGCCTGTCAGAAGCTAAAGATTAGGATAAGGTTGCCTCCCTTCACAAGATTAATCCATGCTTACCTAGTTCTTTAAGTGTGAGCCTTTGTGAGCGTCTACATGCGACGAGTTGGTTGCTGTGAGAAACTCACAGAGAAACTCAAAGCCTGTGAAACCACTTTGGCATAAGAGCAGTATCTGTGCCAGCGTGTAGCTCATATCCAAGGTTTTTGGATGGTGTTTGGAGTACCACGATATGTAGATCACACACTGATGAGGAGGAGGAATTGCAAGCCTCATCATCAAATCAGTATTTGCCTAAATCTGCTGCATTAGAGCAAAAATGGTAGCTATTCAGCGATGGATCGCTAAGGTTACCTACTCGACATCGACATGTTGAGCACGTTAGCCTCACTAAGCCTCAGATTGTTTTCCACATTTCCAAAGGAGTCTCCCGCAGAGCCCTCTTCACGTCCTCTCTTTGGAAACTTTAGGAAACCGAAGCCAAATCATCACCCTTGGAACATCTTGCACAGCACAATTAGTTAAGTGGTCACGCTACTCCGCCACAGCACAGCGAGGCCGAGAGAGAGGATTAAGAAAAGGGAGTAAACACGCTCACATATATTCCCAAGGTTGACGACAAAGTCAGCGCAGATGGCCGACATCCAGCACCTGAAGAGAGAACGGTTGTCTTTGGTCATTTTATTCCACACTAAACAAAGAAGGAAATTTTTGTCTGAAATTATCAAATTAAAAAGAAAAAAAGTTGCTTAATAATTGCCTCTGTGTTGTCAGTGTGTGTGTCTGCATTCATTCATATCTCATAACCTGGAGCCAGTCTCCTTTGTGTCCAGCTATCCAGAGTCTGATAAAGAGGAAACAGCTGGTCTCGGAGCACCGTCCACATGTTGCCCATATTGGCATCAGATTAGATCTCTCCACAATGGCCTTTTCTCTTACTTATTATTTTGTTATGATACAGCGGAAAATGCAGAATGAAGACAACATGCAGCGCATTCCCCTATAATTAGGAAGCAACTGAACACAATTTGTTGTTTAGGCGTCTCTTTGTTCTCCCTTGTTCCTCTTCGTCTGCTTTCTTTCCCAGTTTATAGTGTGTGGATGAGCTACAGTATGTTTGTGCACAGCTACAGACATGATTCATTAAAAAAAGAAAGAAAGTTGAGCGCATTATCATTGCAAGATCCAAAAGTGTTCCCGGATTCCTCCGAAAAGAATTCCTCAGCCAGGTGCAGTCAACAGAAACCACCATGTGAGGATAAAGAGGGCTGTATGCAAATGTTTGAGTTTTTCCATCCGGACATGCAAAGAATACGCCCGTCGTCTTTGTTCTACTTGTTGACATGCCAAAAGGAAAATGGCAAGCACCACTGATTGATTGGGTGTAATTATAACCCCGACACTGGATATTTGCACAGCCATTGTTGATGTCTGGCTGCTGAATTGTAAGCAAAATTCTAAATAAATGGGATTCTTACTCCTATAGGGAGGCGTTTATCCCTATAGGAGAGGGCCTAAAGTTCCCTATTGCTGCCAGGTGTGTGTGTGTGTGTGTGTGTGTGTGTGTGTGTGTGTGTGTGTGTGTGTGTGTGTGTGTGTGAAGACGACCAGATACCGACTGTCTGGCCATTACTGATGTCAGCTCCGCTCTAAGAACTATACATGAATGTTCTGGCGTGCACAAGCACCTGCTTTGGCGGAGTGATATTTCCATAGTGCACGCTTGCACACAAAAGAGACCTGCTGCATGAAATAAATGGCGGGAACGTGCTGTGTGTCGGTTTATCAAAGGTTACTTAAACAGCAGCCACGTCTGTTACATGAAGTCATTATTACATTTATGTATAACACAGTTATGCGTCTAACCAGTGTTGCCAACTTAGCGACTTTGTCGCTATATTTAGCGAGTTTTCAGACCCCTTAGCGACTTTTTTTCTAAAAGAAAAAGTCGCTAAAAAAGACGTGGAAGCGCGTATCGCTTTTACTCTCAACAAGCAGCGGGTGCTGTAACGCAGTCAGTTCTTCTTTTACTCTTATGCTGTTTTGTGGATCACAAGGTTTAAAACTACTTATAAACACACACACACAGTAACTCCACCAGAGCGCCTATTTCGGGTCACTTTTGCCGGTCCAAGCCCGGGTAAAGGAGCAGGGTTGGAATTGT